GAAAACATTCGCGATCGACTTGGGATCCAAGGTGCCGCAGCTAACGAGTCGAGAGGGAGTGTTGTTGAAAAGACAGCAGCTGTGAAGAAGACACCTCGTCAAGCTGCGTCAAGTGTTGAAGCAAGTGGAAGACCAAGCTTCGCTATACCGGTGGGTACCGGTATGTACCAGTAAGGGCGAAGTCAGGAAATGACGTCACTGGATGACGTCATTGCATGACGTCAGTGGGTGACGTCACTGGATAACGTCACTGCGAATAATAGGCTTAGAGGTAGTATTCAAAGTTGCGAACTAAGTACCTATTATAAATATATATTCACTTTGCGTTTTGCACTCGGACCAAGAAGTCTAAAGTTCATCAAGGACATCGTGGCCGGGAGAAAACACATCTCACGGTGAGTCGAGACTTTTACTGGCCCCGCCAGTATCAGTTTGTGCGAAAGTATGTTCGCGCATGCGAAGTCTGCCAACGAGTGAAGTCAAGTCCTTCACTGCGTGCACTTTTACAGCCTCTACCGGTTCCGGCTGAGTGCTGGGAATCCATCTTAATGAATTTCGTCTTCGGGTTACCCAAAGACGCACGCGGGAATACGGGTATTCTTGTATTTGTTGACAGATTCAGCAAAATGGTACACCTTGTGGATGTACCAGAGACAATAACGGCAAGTGGCTGTGCTTGTGTCTTTATCGACACCATCTTCCGACTTCATGGGTTGCCCCGTGAACTCGTATCAGACAGAGATCCACGATTCACTGCTGATTTTTGGCGTTCCGTGTTCAAATCACTCGGAACGCGCTTGAAGATGTCGACATCTGATCATCCAGAGTCAGATGGTCAGACGGAACGTGCCAATCGTGTCCTTGAAGAGATACTTCGAGGATACGTACACTCCTTCAAGAGTTGGAGTGAGTTTTTGCCAGTGGTAGAGTTTGCCATTAACAACTCGGTGCATGCGTCCACGACACATACACCGTTTTACGTGAATGGCTTACGCCATCCGCGTGTACCCACCTTACTAGATTGTAACTCTGGTTTAAGGGGGGGAGGGACTCGCGCGAGCAAAAACCGATTTGGTTCATGTTGAATGATGAAGAGCTTGACGACCGAAACTGGGAGGGATGCTGAGAGTCCACTCGGAAGACCGGAGAAGACACTTGGGTTAGATGGAAGATTGGAAAGTGATTGATTATCGGGGCTTACTACTTACTACATGATTTATATGTGGTGCACATATAAATCATGTGAAGCGTCTCATCATCCTACGCGTCTAATCAACTATGGTAATTACCGTAAGAACTACGTCGTAAATACTAAGCTGAACAGGCGGTTCGGATTGGACCGGTCACGGTTACCAATACTGGTAGAAACCGATGACCGTCAACACGCCCCCTCAATCCGAACTCGCACGAATGCCGAGAGCCGTCGTCAAGTCCTTGTGACGAGGTCCCGAAAGTCCCTTGGTCATGATGTCCGCCATCATCACGGAAGTCTCGCAATACTCGAGCTGCACTTCACCGCGCTTGACCTCATCACGGATGTGATGGTACTTGATGTCGATGTGCTTGGCGCGGCCATGATTCACCGGATTCTTTGTCATCTTGATGCACGACTGGTTGTCTTCACGGATGACGAGGTCCGGTCCTGGTTCGTTTGCGGCCGCCAAAATCTCGCATAGCAGGCGATGCACCCACTTGCCTTCCTGGATGGCCAGACTCAGTGCGATGTATTCCGCTTCACTCGTCGACAGCGACACACTTGACTGCTTCTTGCTTCCCCAACTCACAGGAGCACCCATCAGCATGAAAGTGTAACCCGAAGTCGACTTGCGATCAGCGTGGTCGCCGGCCCAGTCCGCGTCCGAGTAGCCACGAAAGTCGATCTTATCGCTTGGCTGGAAGCGGAGTCCGTGCGACTTGGTCCCTTGCAAGTAACGAAAGATGCGCTTCACCGCCGTCCAATGTTCTTGCTGCGGATTCTCCATGAAGCGCGAGACGTACCCCACAGCATACGCAATGTCCGGGCGCGTCGCAGTCGTCAAGTGCATCAAAGCTCCCACAGCTTCACGAAACGGAACGTCGATCTTGGCCGCTTCGGTGCTTGCGACAAGCCGAGTGCTCAAGTCGACCGGACTTGATGTGGCCTTGCACTCATCCATGCCGAAGCGCTTGAGGATGTCGTTGACATACCGTCGCTGGCACATCGTCACGCTGCCATCCGATTCGTCCACCAGTTCGATGCCCAGTACAAAAGTACACTTGCCACTGTCGGTCATCTCGAAACGCGTCTTGAGGTCGGCCTTCGTCTGCGCAATCAACTCGAGCGAGCTGCCGGTGACCAACACGTCATCCACGTAGACCAGCACGAGCACACAGTGACCATCGACAACCTTGATGTAGAGACATGGGTCGAACGCCGACGCTTCGAAACCGATAGAGCATACGAACTCATCGAAAGTCTCGTTCCACACACGTGAAGCTTGCTTGAGACCGTAGATCGCCTTCACCAACTCGAGACAGTCGAAGTCGCCATCCATCTCGACGCCTTCTGGTACCACGCAGTACACCTTCTCCTTCATCACTCCGTAGAGAAAGGCTGTCACCACATCGAGTTGGTCCAGTGGCCAGTCGAAATACTTGGTGATCGCGATCACCATACGCAGTGTCACGTACTTGACCACGGGCGAGAACGTCTCTGTGTAGTCGATGCCGTACTTCTGCTTGAAGCCCTTGGCAACGAGACGCGCCTTGTATTTCTCGACCGATCCATCCGCTTTGCGCTTGATCTTGAACACCCACTTGGTGCCGATCGCGCCTTGGCCTCTTGGTAGTTTTGCCGCACGGAAAACTCCACGAAGATGCATCGACTTGAGTTCCGCCTTCACAGCATTTCGCCAGTGAGCTTGATCAGGACCATTGATCGCGTCTTGAAAAGTCACAGGTTCTGCTAGGTCCGTTGCTTCCACTGCGTTTGCACTTGCACGCCAAAATGTTGGAGGCGTCAAGTCGTCATCTTGATCGTAGACGCTTGCATCTTCTTCGTCATCAGACATCGTTTCTGGAGCACTTGATCGTCGTTTCTGGTGACGGTTGGAGACGTGTGCCGGCGCACTTGCTTGTTCCAATCCAGTTCGAGGGCGAGCTGAACGTGACATGCCGGGTCTTGCTTCACTCTTGCGCTTGCCAGTCTGCTTGTAGACAGTTTGACGCACGTCGTCCTCGTTGATCGCCAGGAGGTCGAGATCCAACTCCGCATCTTCATCATCGTCACTTGGTCGGTCCATCGAAAAGTCAAAAGTCGATTCGTCGAAGGTGATGTCACGACTGATCACCACTTGGTCCGCCTCAATGTCGTACACTCGATAAGCTTTTGACACTTCTTCGTAGCCCATGAACATCCCTTCACGAGCCTTCGGGTCCCACTTCAATCGCTTCTCCCTTGGTGTCAGGATAAACGCCCGACATCCAAACACGCGCATGTGCTTGACACTTGGTTTCGACTTGTACACGATCTCGAACGGAGTCTTGTGGTCGATCTTGGGTGAAGGCAGGCGGTTCTTGATGTAGATCGCCGTCATTGCCGCTTCAGCCCAGAAACACTTCTCCAGCTTTGCATGATGCAACAAGCTGCGTCCGATCGTGACGATGGTCCTTATCGCGCGTTCTGCGGTGCCGTTGGTCTGGTGTGCATACGGCACCGTGATCTGTTGTTCGATACCATGATCTTCGTAGAAGGTCTTGATCGAGTTGGTCGCAAATTCATGCGCTCCATCGTGCCGAACAAACTTGATCTTCGTGCCGAACTGTGTTTGAATCTTGATGATGTGGTTCTTGATACAGTCTTCACTCTCAGACTTGGACCGCAGACAGAAGCCCTTCATGCAACCGCTAGCTTCGTCAACCACAAGCAGTAAGTATTTGCTGCCGCCGATCGAGACTTGTTCCATTGGCCCGCAGATGTCGAAGTGCAGCAACTCGAACATACCATATTGGCGTTTGTCACGGTTGGTTGGGAATGGTTTTTGGACCATCTTTCCTTGCTGGCAACCGCGACACACACTTGGACCAGTCGAGTTGAGAGGTGCCTTGGCGTCCTTGATCATGCCAGTGGCCATCATCTTGCGCAGAACTTCGAGAGGTGCATGACCCATGCGCGCATGCAAGTCGATGGTCCCATTGCGTGTTGCTGCATTTGCCGATCGTTGAGGAGTCCGCAGCCAGTAAAGTCCATCGACGAGATCCGCTGTTGCCACGACTTGTGTGGAATTCTTGCGCTTCACTTGCATCTTGGATCCATCGAACACGACTTGGAACCTCCCACCCTTGTTGATCTGTGGCACCGAAAGCAGATTCTTGCTCATGCTTGGTACGAACAGCGCGTCCTTGATCTCGATGTCGCGTTCGTCACCATTGGGCAGAACCACCCGTTCCATGATGGTTCCCACACCCTTGATCGCAGCCTTGCTGCCATCAGCCACTGATAGTTCGCCTTCCTCTCGCTCATTCAGGCTTGCAAACTTGGCCTTGTCGTTGCAGATGTGATGCGTCGCACCGCTGTCGACTGCCCACATCCCTGGCATATTCTTGCCCGTCGAAAGTCCGGCCTCCAGCGAAACCGCGAACGCAACTCGATCGCAGTTGTCGTCGTAGTTGCTGTTGGTTCGCCACTGAACGTTGTTGGCTCCGCGTCCACGAGCATTGTTGCCGCCGCGTCGAGCTCCACCTTGATTCTCGTTCTTCTGCTTGGTCCAGCATCGGTCCATCGTATGCCCCAATTTTCCGCAGTACGTGCAATGATGCGGTTCACGCTCGGTAAACGCCTTGACCGCGTCTTCAGTCTTCACCGATGTCGTCTTGTCACCTTGCCGCTTGATATGCTCGTTCGTGAGCACTTTCACGACGTCCCGCGATCGAAGCTCTGCGCTGCTCATCTCCAAGTTGAGAACCACGTTCTCGAAACTATTGGGCAGACTGCGCAGTAAGCAGATCGCAACGTCCTCGTCCTACATCTTGGCGCCGATGCTAGCCAGCTTTGCGCTGATGTTGAGGACCTCATTGCAATGATGCAACACATTGCCGCCTTCTGCCATCTCCATACTGAACAGCTGGCGCTTCAAGTAGATGCGTCCAGCCTTCTGCGACCTGCCGTACAGCGTCTTCAAACGCGCCCACGCGACCCACGCCTCTTCACAGTCATCGACCACATGATGATAATCTACGCTCATGTGCAGCAGCATCAAGCCGAACGCAATGTTGTTCGTCTTGACGTAGTCGTCACTGGCGCGAGGATCGGCGAAGGTGGGGGTGGTCTCCCGGTTCACCACGTGCCACGCCGACTTGGTCAGGAACACGCCACGCATGTAGCGGCTCCACGTCGCGTAGTTGTCGCCGTCGAACTTGTCAATGGAGATCTTGGTGGTGGCATCATGAGCAGAGGACATCGTGCTTGGGCTCATAACCTGTTGTTAGGTGAAGAGTTTGACGACCGAAACTGGGAAGGATGCTGAGAGTCCACTCGGAAGACCGGAGAAGACACTTGCCCAATAGTTGGAAGATTCGAAAGTGATTGATTATCAGGGCTTACTACTTACTACATGATTTATATGTGGTGCACATATAAATCATGTGAAGCGTCTCATCATCCTACGCGTCTAATCAACTATGGTAATTACCGTAAGAACTACGTCGTAAATACTAAGCTGAACAGGCGGTTCGGATTGGACCGGTCACGGTTACCAATTCTGGTAGAAACCGATGACCGTCAACAATCGACAAGGGTCTGAAGAGCAGCTATCTCATCCCGAGACCGATCAACAATCCCACGAGCTACCCTTAGCTCGTCACGAAGAGATGTCAGAAATCTCTCGTTCTCAAGCTGAGCAAAGGAAAACTCAGCTCGATGTTTCGAGACAGTGTCCGCCATTTGAAGACACCTGTCCCGCTCATGTTCGAGATCGTTGCGTAACCCTTGCGTTACGCGATCAAAGAAGCTTTCGGGAACACGGATCCCCATGATCGTGTGGAGATCGTCTTACCTCCTCCTCCACCTCCATTTGAGGACTCTCGCGGTGGCCAGCGCTATATAGTTTAGCAGCGGTTGAACCACCGCGACGTGAACGGACGTCGGACGAGTTATCTCGTCCGGTGGCGCGGCTATCCCCCGTCCTGGGATACTTGGGAGCCCCGCTCCCAACTGATGATCGACGTACTGGGTCTGGTTGGGCAGTACGACGCGGCACATCCTGTGCTGCAGAAGGACCGCCGGAGAAATTCTTCCCGGCACGGTCGTAAAGGGATTTCAGGTTGTCAATCCCTTCGTACATCCCAGTAGAGATACGTACGCGCCACCAAGGGCTAGTAAGGAGGTAAGCCTCCTTAGGTGCTCGTGCAGAGTTGTTCACACAACATGGGCACGAGTCTCCCCATGAGAGGCAGGGTAATCCCTTCTCCCTTGACAGACGATGCAGCTTGTAGCGTGCACCTGTCGGGGTTCGCTTTTCAAACTTATCACGAGCTTTGATAAGTTTGTCGTTCCAAGCGTCACGACCTACATCCTCAAGGTTATGGGTGTAGGCGTTCCACGCTTGAAGTAGTGAGAGACCATCACGCTTTTGATTCCCACTGTACCATCGATGTCTAAAGAAAGCATCGATGAAGAATTCATTCTCAGCGCGATAATTTTTCGCGCTGGGGTCAAGGTGATGGATCCTTGACGAATCGAACAAACGTGTTCGATAACGATCACTCGTCGTCGCCGACAAGTGATCCATGACTGATTTGGGAGGCATCCATGCCTTCTTCTCGGGAGCTAGACGCAAGACATTGCGGTCCCGCTCTTCCTGCGATGTGCCGACAGAAGGACTGGCACCTCGTTGCGAAGTGGTGTCCATGGAAGAACCGACACCACTATTAGCGCCCGAGTCTCGCGACCTCGAGCGCCTTCGCTTTGGCGATGGTTCATCTAATTCATCAGATGAACCAAAGATGCTACGACGCATAGCATCTTCCATGCCACGCTTGGCGGGCGGCTTGGATTCGATCGCCGTCGATACGGATCCGTCTTCCGTATCAGGAGAGTACGAGACACCGAGCTCATACTCTGTGAAGACATGAGTGTCTTCATGACCAGCACCTGCATCACCAAGTGACACAGGCTGAGTCGCTTCAGCAACCGATGACACATCAATTGCAGCGGTTTCTGCTTCGGCGTCCGCACAGAGACGTGCGGACGCGCTCTCGGCGGCCTTGCTCGCGCATCGCATGGGCTTGTTAACCATGCGATGATATGTTGGGAAGTGGACTCGGACCATAAGTGCAAACCCTGTCCCAAATGATTTGGGACGAGTATCCATTCAGTCAATGAGTCACTAAAGTGACTGATGGTTAAGGGGGGGTGATGTAACGGGGTGAATCGTTGCATAACAATTCATAAGAAATTGTTAACAGAATATAACTATAAGAGATTTATTCTCAGAATATTGTCATAAGGACAAATATTCTGTTGCACTTACAAGTAGTTCCTAATTGGTTGATATAGGCCATTATATCAACCATCGAAGACGCGCCACGACAGACGCACGCAATGAGTGGTGAGCAGATAACTGATTTACACATTTGTATTTAGACATAGTTCGATGAAGATAAATAGTGATTTATTGCAGACATTAACTATTATAAATACAGTTCTACTTTTTACTCTAACCAAGTACTCGCTTCTTCTTACCGTCTTCCTCTGCACGTACGAGTGTACGTGAAGTTACGAGGCACCGCCTTATTCTATCATCAGAATAAGTAGCTTGTACTGTCACTAGTACAAGCTTCAGGGTGCCCCGTTACACCTGGTAGTACTTCGTAGTCCGTCCAAGGACCACGTTCACACCTAACATGAATATGTTGGATGATGAAGATGACCAAAGCTTTCATGCGACGCGTGACGGCTACTCCCATTTGATCGATGTCGAATGGGATGCGGTTGAACGGATGGGTTCAACCATGGACATCCACGCTGTTAGCGTCATGCTAGAGGCTCTCAATAGAGATGCCCAACATGCTACTATCGCCAAGTTCATTCAAAATGAACTTGACGCTGAACGCAAGAAAGTAGCCTTGCTTCACCAACAAGGTTCTCAACAAGCAGGGTGTTGAGAGAACAGGGTGCTCAACAGTTTGAACTGTTGAGACAGCAGCAGGCTGCTGGTGGTGGGTCGATGCACTCGCGAAGTTCAGAGTCTATCTATTAGGAGATAGACCCTTCATTGTTTACACTGACCATGCGTCATTACGCACGGCAGTGAACAGCCCGCACCTTTCACAACGAATGGCGCGGTGGTTGTCATTCTTTGCAGAATACAACTTTACGGTCGAAAACTGTTGACGGTCATCGGTTTCTACCAGTATTGGTAACCGTGACCGGTCCAATCCGAACCGCCTGTTCAGCTTAGTATTTACGACGTAGTTCTTACGGTAATTACCATAGTTGATTAGACGCGTAGGATGATGAGACGCTTCACATGATTTATATGTGCACCACATATAAATCATGTAGTAAGTAGTAAGCCCCGATAATCAATCACTTTCTGTTGAATGATGAAGAGCTTGACGACCGAAACTGGGAGGGATGCTGAGAGTCCACTTGGAAGACCGGAGAAGACACTTGGGGTAGATGGAAGATTGGAAAGTGATTGATTATCGGGGCTTACTACTTACTACATGATTTATATGTGGTGCACATATAAATCATGTGAAGCGTCTCATCATCCTACGCGTCTAATCAACTATGGTAATTACCGTAAGAACTACGTCGTAAATACTAAGCTGAACAGGCGGTTCAGATTGACCGGTCACGGTTACCAATACTGGTAGAAACCGATGACCGTCAACACGCCCCCTCAATCCGAACTCGCACGAATGCCGAGAGCCGTCGTCAAGTCCTTGTGACGAGGTCCCGAAAGTCCCTTGGTCATGATGTCCGCCATCATCACGGTAGTCTCGCAATACTCGAGCTGCACTTCACCGCGCTTGACCTCATCACGGATGTGATGGTACTTGATGTCGATGTGCTTGGCGCGGCCATGATTCACCGGATTCTTTGTCATCTTGATGCACGACTGGTTGTCTTCACGGATGACGAGGTCCGGTCCTGGTTCGTTTGCGGCCGCCAAAATCTCGCATAGCAGGCGATGCACCCACTTGCCTTCCTGGATGGCCAGACTCAGTGCGATGTATTCCGCTTCACTCGTCGACAGCGACACACTTGACTGCTTCTTGCTTCCCCAACTCACAGGAGCACCCATCAGCATGAAAGTGTAACCCGAAGTCGACTTGCGATCAGCGTGGTCGCCGGCCCAGTCCGCGTCCGAGTAGCCACGAAAGTCGATCTTATCGCTTGGCTGGAATCGGAGTCCGTGCGACTTGGTCCCTTGCAAGTAACGAAAGATGCGCTTCACCGCCGTCCAATGTTCTTGCTGCGGATTCTCCATGAAGCGCGAGACGTACCCCACAGCATACGCAATGTCCGGGCGCGTCGCAGTCGTCAAGTGCATCAAAGCTCCCACAGCTTCACGAAACGGAACGTCGATCTTGGCCGCTTCGGTGCTTGCGACAAGCCGAGTGCTCAAGTCGACCGGACTTGATGTGGCCTTGCACTCATCCATGCCGAAGCGCTTGAGGATGTCGTTGACATACCGTCGCTGGCACATCGTCACGCTGCCATCCGATTCGTCCACCAGTTCGATGCCCAGTACAAAAGTACACTTGCCACTGTCGGTCATCTCGAAACGCGTCTTGAGGTCGGCCTTCGTCTGCGCAATCAACTCGAGCGAGCTGCCGGTGACCAACACGTCATCCACGTAGACCAGCACGAGCACACAGTGACCATCGACAACCTTGATGTAGAGACATGGGTCGAACGCCGACGCTTCGAAACCGATAGAGCATACGAACTCATCGAAAGTCTCGTTCCACACACGTGAAGCTTGCTTGAGACCGTAGATCGCCTTCACCAACTCGAGACAGTCGAAGTCGCCATCCATCTCGACGCCTTCTGGTACCACGCAGTACACCTTCTCCTTCATCACTCCGTAGAGAAAGGCTGTCACCACATCGAGTTGGTCCAGTGGCCAGTCGAAATACTTGGTGATCGCGATCACCATACGCAGTGTCACGTACTTGACCACGGGCGAGAACGTCTCTGTGTAGTCGATGCCGTACTTCTGCTTGAAGCCCTTGGCAACGAGACGCGCCTTGTATTTCTCGACCGATCCATCCGCTTTGCGCTTGATCTTGAACACCCACTTGGTGCCGATCGCGCCTTGGCCTCTTGGTAGTTTTGCCGCACGGAAAACTCCACGAAGATGCATCGACTTGAGTTCCGCCTTCACAGCATTTCGCCAGTGAGCTTGATCAGGACCATTGATCGCGTCTTGAAAAGTCACAGGTTCTG